GCTACTTGTGTGTCTGCTTTGTGATTGTTAGTGCTCTTATTTCAGAAAATGGCTTCCACATCTCGGGACAGTTATAATTATACAGAAGACAGTGAGGATGATACAAGTCAAAATAGCAATGACAGTGAGCCCAGTGGCGCTGAAGCGGAAGTGGAAGAAGATTCAGCTGATGAGTTCGCAGAAGTATTTGAAGAAGAAGACTTAGGATACGCCCCTATTTGGTCCACAACAAATCAAGGCATGCGCAGGATTAATTTTAGACGTAAAAACAAATTACTGGTGGACATTCCAGGTAACAATAGACCTATTGATTGGTTTTTGCTTGTGGTTGACGATGACATTGTACTAAATAATTTTGTGGAATACACCAACAAGTATGCTAAAGAGGTTTTCTTTGGTCCTCAATTGACGCCTGCATCCAGAATCAATAGGTGGAAACCTCTTACAGTTCCTGAACTTAAGACCTTTATTGGTTTGCTGCTCCAGATGGGAACAATTCGGCTCAATCGGATCAACGATTATTGGAAAACCAATCGTTTATTTGACCTCAAAGTTTTTCATGAGCAAATGGCTCGGGACAGATTTCTATTAATTTTAAGATGCCTCCACTTCTGTGACAACGCAAAAGAGACCGACAACAGACTGTATAAAGTGCAGGAACTTATCGATTGGTTCAACAACCAAATGATGCGAATATACTATCCAGGAAAAGACTTATCCTTGGATGAAGGGATGGTTTTATGGCGGGGCCGATTGCACTTTGGCCAGTATATCAAGGGCAAACGCCATAAGTATGGCGTGAAATTGTACTCACTGTGTGAAACAGATGGCCTAGTACTTCGATTCACAGTCTTCTCTGGCAAAGATGGACCACTTTCGGGAAAAAACCACGGAATGAAAGTTGTGATGCACTTGATGTCGGGAAAGTTGGATGCCGGTCACAGTATTTATATGGACAGTTACTACAATTCTTTCCCCTTGGCCAGTGAATTGTTGAAAAGAAGTACATATTGTACCGGCACCTTGAAGAGTGACAGAAAATATTTACCTGAAGAAGTCACAGCAGCTAAACTGAAGAAGGGGGAAACGGTCGAACGATATGCTGAAGGGGTGCTTGTTGGCAAATGGATGGACAAACGCCAAGTCCTATACGTGTCAACTGAATTTGGAAATGAAATGGCGATGTCACAAAATAAAAACAAGCAGCTTAGAGAAAAGCCAGTCCCAATAATCCAACATACCGTGAAGATGAAAGGGGTTGATAGATATGACCAACTAATGGCATATTATCCGATTGATCACAAATCCCTTAGGTGGTATAAGAAAATCTTCATACACATCATTCAAATGTTCCTAATCAACTCATTGAAGTTGTATAATTTTGCTAATCCAAACGAAACCATGAGTTTGTATGATTTCAGACTTCAGGTAATCGATTCTCTTCTGCCCCCTATGACGGATCCATCACCCAAGCGACCAAAGCGATGTGCGACGGAACATGTCTTGTCAAAGATTACACCAAGAAATCCAAAGAAGCCGGTTGAGAGAAGAAGGTGCAAGGTGTGTTATCGTGAGGGGAGAGAGAAGAAAACATTGTTCTTTTGTGCCCAGTGTCCAGGCGAACCAGCGTTGTGCCCCACACCATGCTACGAAAAGTTCCATGCTTAACGGTGCGGTAAACACTCAGTGGTACTGAGCATGAATATTATTAAGTACACTTTGAAACTATTTTATTTCAGTAATATTAATTTATATCTTTCATCTTTGTTACATATTTACATTTATTCTGACCCTGGTTCATGGTGGGTCAGTACTGACCGATGAATATGACGTCACATTAAGTTATATTCAATACCAATCAATTTATATACTGTATTGTGTTGAAAAATACTACATATTCATATATTTAGAACCTATATTTTAGTGACATATAATGTAGTCAGTGACATTTACATATTTTCTGATTCTGGCTCCTGATGAGTCATTACGTCATATTCACTTCCGATTGTTTGATATAATATTGTACTTACATATATATTTAGAATAAATATTTTAGTGACACATATAATGTATTCAATGCCATTTCCATTTTTTCTGACTCTGGTTTTTGATGGTTCATTACACCTATGTATACTTCATGACGTCTTATTCAATTCCGATTGTTTTATGTAATGTTGTATTTTAATAAGGACACATAAAGGATTGTTATTCAGCAATACAATTTTTTAGCAATACGGTTCAATTGTTTAAATCTCCTTTAGCAGTAAAAGTGTTAAGATATTAAGGATTATTCTTGCAACACTAGCTCACTAAGCATTGGAACAGATCTGTGAACGTGATATTATAACAAACTTAAGCTGTAGGCCTTGAATTGGATATAGTTAACTACTAAATATTCACGCGGAAACTTGGAAAAACTATTAAAATCCATAAAAATTTAGGAAAGAACCATAAATTTCACTATAAAAAGAGTAGTATACAACAAATAGTGTCTGTGGACGACTCAGGTGGCAATTGACGGAATCAGTAAATTCATTGTGAATTGCACTTATATTTCTAATCAGAATAAATTTGGTACGGATATATTTCTTCTTAAACCAATTTTGGATGTCCAATCTAATCATGTTATCACAGTCTACTGCAATCTGTTGCTATTTATTTAATATTTAAAAGGATGAGGAACCAGAGGTATGAAGGGAATTCTCTGAAACGTTTTTATCACACCCTAACAACATTGTTTAAGAAAAAGTACTTTAAAATTGTAAATTATATGTAGTATTTACGAATAAGCATAGCTTTGTCGAGCTAATAAAATAAAGACAACGCTCTACTTTTAAAAAATACACGAGGTTTCGGATTTTTATTGCATCATTAGAGGATATACTTAATCCTTAAGGGTTCCATCTCATATACACACGCTTATTTCATCGATTAAAATGTCTGTACAGCATATTTTCCATAATGTTACTTACTGCCAGACCAAAACTGAACAATAGGCCTAGTATGACCGTCCGCAATGGCCTCATCTAAAGAGTATGTAATGGGGTCATATGTTTAGCCAAAGGCATATAAAGCTGACAAAACCGCACTACAGTCTAGATGTTAAGTGTGAATACAACTAATTGCTACAACATGCCAAATAAATAATCAGCTAGTAAATTAAAATTGACTCATGAGTGTGAAAGGACATTTCAAATTTTCATTAACCTTTATAGCCTATTAAATTCAAAGATTTCTTACATAGGTTAACTAAATATCGTATAAGTAACTATTATAATGTCAACATAACTAAATATTATATATCTAATCTATGTTATAACAGGTCAATTTGGTTAACATTTCATTCAACAGGTTATTTTGCGTGCATCCTCAATTGAAAATTGTACTTATTCAACAGCAATATTACTGGAGGTGCTGGTCATATTTGTTCACTTTGCCACAAAAATAAATGATTACACAGCCCTTTTTTATAAATTAAGAGTTAAATCTCAAATTGAGATGGAACAACGTCAACTGGTTCATATTTGTGAAGTGTTAAAACATTTTATATTTTCAAATATAAACTCTACAATTGTAACCTAGTTTTTTTAGCACCTTGATTGATTTTTACTATCCTTTTTTTAGAAAACTTCCCATTAATAAGCTATTACTGAAGGTCTCATGGTAAGACCTGGTCCAGGGTCCAGCATGTTTAGGCCGGCCGCACACCTGATACAGCAGGGCATGGCAAGGCGAGGCGAGACGTCTTTGCCTCGTCTTGCCGTGCCCGATGGAGATTTGAGGCACGGCACGGCAAGGCGACTTGAGCACCCACATGGTCGATCCCATGGTTTCAGTAAAGTGAGATATTGTGTGTTATGAGGTTGTTTGTACATTTTGTGACACTTTGTACTACACATTTTGTGAGAATGGATGCAGAAGGCGAAGAAGAGGCTGCTGCCATCGCTGCTATATGGTACCATTGACTGTTGTGTTTATATAGTCAATGATGGTACCTAATGAATGTAATGGATGATCTCCCTAACAGAGAATCGTGGGTGCATCCCATCAACCAAAAAAGGAACTTGAAACCATTCATTGCAGAACTTAGAGCAGATCCGGGAAAAATCATAATTACTAAATACTAATCGTTGAAAGTGCACACTGATTTTGACAGGGGCTATCACTGCGCTGAACGTGGTGTTGATCCTCGCGCATGCGCACATCGTTTTGTTGAGGCCTTTTGCCCGAAAGACGAAAATTGAAAAGGCAGAACAAAGCGCCGTACGGCGCTGTTTTGCCTTGCCTTGCCGTGCCCGATGATGTGTGCGGCACCCCCATTTGAAATAATAGAAATCTAGTCGCATAAGGCGTCTTAAGGCAAAACGTCGCGCCGTGCCGTGCCGCATCAGGTGTGCGCCCGGCCTTAGTAAGATCAGTTATTGTGCAGTGTTTAGTGAGAGGATTACAACATAACCACCTAACCTTTAGTCTTTGATATGTAAGGTCTGATTTATCGAATAGGAAACTGACATAAAATCAAAATCTAACAATGTTGTATCTCTTCTGATTGATGGCCATGCTGGTTAAGTCAGGTCTCTTCAGCCAGGAAACAGTACTGTCTGTACATCGATGATTTGTATCCTCTCTCAGTTCTAGGTCTGTTATGTAATTCATGATGAGTTCACTATTGAAGTATATCTGTATGGGAGAGGCTCTTGTAAACAGTGGAAATTGATGGCATCAGTGATTTCTTGAGGAGCTGCTCTTCAAGTATTTCTGTGTGCCTTGCACAAAATCGTTTTAGAAATTTTGATTTTTACGTCAATTGAATCAGGCTAAGTACTTTGTTGGGGTTCTTGAAAAAGAAGTTCCCAATATTTAGACATCTACACTGAAGTTTTGGATATATTTCATCTAAGGGACTATAATTACGAAATCATCTCTTCATTGTCATCAATTATTGTGATTGTATTTGTCAGTCTCTTCACTTGAAATACTTACACACTTTTTCTTTATAGGTTGGCAGTCCTGTACTGGCAAGGACAAATTATTATTCATCAGATTACAACTCAAGAGGTCATTTTGTAGAAGTGATGGAAATTAAAGTAGAACCTAACCTGGAAGAATCAGAATGTTCTGAAGAATATCCAACAGAAGAAAATTATTCTCATTTGCCTCTATATATGAATCCTTTTGCTGTAGCCTATCCAAACACCACAACACTTTCGAGGAGCAGAACTACGTCTCCAGACAATCAATCAACTGACTTGAGTTCTAGTGGTAATATTGAGAGTGGAAACACTGCAATTCCAAATACTAAGAAATTCAGATCTGGGAATGAGAATAACACCTCTACTGACAGCATTGCCATTAATCAAGACACTTCATTTCAGTCAATCTTTGACAAAGAACCAGAGGGTTTCTGTTTAGTTTGTAGTGTCGATTGTGGAACGACTGAATTGCTAGACGAGCACAAAGCCGGCAACTACTTTGTCTGCAGGAATTGTTCAGTGACATTCAAAAACCACAATGATCTTGAGAACCACTTCTTTAGCCATGAAGCATTTCTTTGCGTGAGTTGTAAGAAACAATTCTATTGCAAACACGATCTTTACCAACATAAAAAAACAAACTCATTGTGTAAAGGTAAGCGGGCTCATCCCGGGTACAAGTGCAGGCTTTGTAAAAGTAAATTTGTGAAAAAGTTGTCTTTAGATGAACATTTGAGACAGAAGCATCCCACTGGGGAGTCTACCACATATCCTTGCATCGTTTGCAAAAAGATTTCAAAGTCCTCAACTGACTACAATTATCATATGAAAACAACACATATTGTCTCTATCAGTTTTGAGTGTGAAATTTGTCACAAAATTGAACATGGGCCAGAACAGTTGAAGAATCATATTCAAAACACGCATATTAAAGGTTCTCAATGTTGCCCAATGTGTACGAAAACATTTGCCAATGAACGAATGCTAAAAGCGCATATGGAGCTTCATATCGGAAAGGAAATAGAGTGTGAAACTTGTGGAAAGATTTGTAAGGGTAGAAATGCTTATAACCATCATCAACTATGTCACAGAGGCAGGGTGTACACTTGTGAAGTTTGCAAGATTCAATTTAAAAAGAGAGCGGAAAAAAACGATCATTGTCAGTTGGTTCACAACATTAGTAAGAAAAAGCGAGATTCAGCTCCAGTCATTTGCGAAATATGTGGAAAAAGCTACAAGTCTGCAAGGATTTTGAAGGAACATATGCTACTGCATTCTGAAGATAAGAACTTTGTGTGTCAAATCTGTGGAGCCGCTTTCAAATTAAAAGTCGCCCTCCGAAAACATAGTAGGGTACATAGTGATGAAAGCAAGTATTCTTGTGAGAAATGTGGAAAGGGCTTTAGATGGAAGCCAACTTTTGATAAACATGTGCTAAAGTGTGAATCCTCAAATGATACAGGTTCTGATTCTGAGAGTGAATAAAATCTCACTTGATGTATTGGGTTTCCGCTAAACCAAACCACCTGTTGGAGAATGAAGATATTGTAGTTAAATTAATACCCCTGCCATAGCAAACCTGTAGACCAAACAAACTTCCAATTGTCTGATTGGATGTTTTATCTATTTTTTTTTTTCAAAATGTCAGGTTAATTCCCTATTTATATAACCTTAGATTCAGAGCCAGCCTTAAATATGTGCGAAAGGTGTGGCCGCTTAGGGTTCTGCACCTCAGATGGGCCATGCTTGGTGCAAAAGCAAAAACTAATTGAAAATCGGTATTTTTATTTTATTTAAAATAACTTTTAATACCAGTACTTGCCAATGAGTTTCCGAACCAATTGTTTTTTCATATTTTTCCCCTAAATCATAGGGGAAAATATGAAAAAACAATTTTTGAAAGGAGACCAACAAATAACCTGATCTTGCTGGTTCGCGAACTCTTTCAAAACAACCATACTGTGGAGTTTAAAAAAACAAATAATTGTTTATATTGAAGCATTGTTAAAGTTCTATAAAACAATGCACAAAAGAATCTCAAAAGAAAACTGTTAGTTTGCTTACTTAGTTTTGTCAATGGTTTGGCAAATTTATCTATTTTGTCCTATGCTAATAACATTTGGTCATAAAAACCCTTTTTAACTTCACCGTAGCAGCAAACCTAGGTTAGACGATAAATCGTAAATTGTGAATAAACCGTTAATGTTATTTAATTAAGTACACTTGGGGAATAAATATTTTTTTTTGTTAGTCCTATTTTGTACAAATCCAATCAGATGTATTAAATATTAAATTCACTTAGTATGCAGGCTTCCTGTGGTAGGTGTATTTTTTAATTGTCGTAATACAGTAGCCAAATTTTATCACATATTTATTCATAACGGTTAATTAACAACAGTTTCCTATGCATCCATAAGAATAAAACAAGTATTTTAAATTTATGGTTTTATTTATTTTCTCTGCAACCTTGAATTATTCTGCAATAACCTTGAAGGTACACAAAATCTCCATAACAGAGCAAATTACAACAGTTCACTTATTCATCATAAGGATAACATAAGAATTTAAAATGACAGTTTTTTTTACTTTTCCCCATAACTGTTTAACGTACCAGAACACTTAAATTTTGTAAATTATTAAAATTCAAAACGTAGCCCCTGAACTGCAACTAGACAATTAATTGTAATAAGGTACATACCTTCATGTCAACAGTTAAAGTTTGGTAGGTAGTCAAACTTGCGACATGTTTCACCTATTCAGGCATCTTCAGGTGATCTATCAAGAATGCTTCATCCATTAAGAGTCGTCAAGTAACTTTCAAATAAATACACAAATGACATACACACAACAAATTTAACATTTAAAGTAGGCCTACTATTAACTGGTTGCGGTACGGAGCCAGACTGGCTGGAATTATGGAACACCGACCCCTTCTGTGTTATCAATTGTAGACCTACTACAAAGGTCAAACTGTTCCTAAATAGAGTGTGATTTGAAGTTTAGCTGGTCATTCAAAATTTTATGGTTTTTAGTGTGGCTGTCTTGGAAGCTTTTATGATTTGAAATTTTTCTAGAGAATCCAGTTTTATTTCTTAATTTCCTTAATTACAAATTTAAAGAATTTCCAGGCTGTCGTTGATTAGATCCACAGTGTGACTTTTATCCAATAAATTCTGGACAAAGGTAGATTTTTGTTTGTCTGCCCTAGGGTCAGGGCGGTGTTCTTTGTGCCGTTAGGTAAAGGTCCTGCCTGTTTGTTCAATATAAAAATTGGGACAATCCATGCATTTTAGCTTAAACGTCAGACTTTTTGAGCTTATTTTCCTCACAATTTTTATATGTTTGTTAAGGAATTTTTAGTCTTATGGTTCTAAGGGTTAATTGAACCCGGTGTTTCTTTAAAACTTTGTAGAGTCCAATTTGGAGCTTTGTGGTTGTATTCTATGCAAATGCATTTCTTATCATATTCATACAGTTTCTTGTGATTTGGCTTTTTAATTTTGGTACTATTTTATCTTCATCTTCTGTACATGGTTTTTAACCATTGGAAATTGCACTATGTTTAGTTTATATTTCGTTCTTTGCCGTAATCATAATTTGAAAACGGGAATTTCATTAGCCTGTATACTAAGCTATTGTAAGTGGCAAGTTTTTTGAAATATAGGATGGTATGACATGGCATATTGTTTGGCTTGAAGTAGGTTTTCTATAAATTTAATACTGAAGCTAAGTTTATTATCTTTTTTCTTAATGGTCATATATAGAAATTTTTCTCATTATTGACCTCCGTTTATTTTGAGAAATGTAGCTTGAGTGCAATGCTGTATTTTGATAACAAGTTGCGTTGGTGAGTATTGCTAATTGCTATTAAAGTCTACTCTACTAGGATGCTGAAATTTCTGTTTTCAACTAAAAATAATCAAACGAACTTTCTAATAGCACATGGTAATCAACTCATAGTTTTCAGGAAGCAAATTAAATAGGCTTTAAAATTTTGTTTTTATTTTTGTTGTTTATTTTATTTTATTTTTTATTGTAGTTTGGAAATTATTGACGGTTCAATTTAATGTACATGTGCATGTAATTAATAAAGTATATTTTGATTTGATTTGAAAAGTAATTTTACCCATTATAGCAGGATAACTATTCATACAATAAATAATTCTTTAGTACAAAGTATTTTAATTTTAGGTAAAGCCAGCTGAGAACCAGTATATTCCTCAAGAGCTTTCGCTCTCTGTCAAGCGAATCGTAAAGTTACCATTACCATCCAATAGAGAAATACCTTCAACACTAACAAAACGGAGAACTTGTGCTATCTGCCCAACAAAACTGAGTCGCAAGACCCGTTATCCATGCCAATTGTGCGGGATCCCAATTTGCTTGGAATGTGCCAAAAAGATCTGCAGAGAATGTCTGCGAAAGTCTCAAAAGTTACCATTACCAGACAATCTAGAAATACCTTCAACGCTAACAAAACGGAGAACTTGTACCTTCTGTCCGTCAAAACTGAAGCGTAAGACCCGTTTTCCATGCCAAACGTGCGGAGTCCCAATTTGTTTGGAATGTGCCAAAAAGGTCTGCAGAGAATGCCTGCGAAAGACTCAACGCCGCTAAAAAATCCAAACTGAAACAATTTCCCCGACTTATTGTCCCAACCACTCACTCATTGTTTAATCAATTAAATTTGTCTTAACAGCTGATAAGTTGATGTTCAGAGGATTACAATTTTACTTCTTTTCTCTCAATTCTTGAACATCAGTGGTCAAAAATTGTACTATAAAGTAACAAAACAATACTGTAAAGTGAATCTTTCAATTCTAAGAACTGAATTAAAAAGGCTAGTTTTAAAAAACAGTCAAGGGTAATGTATTTACCTCTTATTACTTTGAAGTTTAATTAAATCTTCACATTTAAATGTACTTATAACAAGTATCAATTGTAACTTGTTCATGTAGGTACTGTACTTTTTTTGTCAGTGAATTTGTTATATTAGTTTTTATATTTATTCAGTTTTAATTTGAAATTATTTGTCCATAACCTAATATAAAGTTATAATTTTTCCTAATTGTTGTATTTATTATTATATACACCAATAAAACAAAATTTCTACTCTATTAGTGTTTTATTTACTAACTGGTTGCTAAAATGAGAAATTAAAAAAATATTTTTTTTTTTTTAAATATTGAATATTTATAAGCCTCTAATTAAGTTAACTTTCATATAAAAGCTTCTAAGATATGTTTGGAAAATACTTTATTTTCATAAATCTTTAAAAAATGGATTTTTTCATGTACCGATGCAAATATTTAAATTTGCTTTGAAGAAAAGTAATTACAAAATGATTACAATATTGAGCCTAGAAATAACTACTAGAAAAACCTTAAAAATAAATTTTATAATACGATGGTTGTTTTTTTTTTCAACCTCCGATAGGCTATGAACAAAAGACAAGTTCATATAAAACATTAAATTTATTACCAAAAGTTTGGTCCATTTATGGTTACTTTTTGACATAATCACCAAAGAGATTGAGACATTTGCTATATCTGTGCACCAGCTTTTTAATACTCTCTTCAAGAAAAGTGGCCGCCAGTACATTCCAAAACACAAAAAAAATCAAAAAACAAAAAAATGTAAAAAAAATAAAAAAATCAAGAAAAAATAAAAAAGGACTTTAAAATTTCTAGAAATTCAGTAAACAAAGCAATAATGGTGAATCCGTGGTTTATTTAACCATTCTGCCAACTCGTTGAACCAGCTCATTACTGTCGTTTCAGATGACTTGGTTCAACAGTTTGACAGGATGGTTAAATAAACCACAGATTCACCATTATTGCTTTGTTTACTGAATTTCTAGAAATTTTAAAGTCTTTTTTTTATTTTTTTGACATTTTTTTTTAATTTTTTTTTTTTTTTTATGTACTGGCGGCCACTTTTCTTGAAGAGGGTATTAAAAAGCTGGTGCACAGATATAGCAAATGTCTCAATCTCTTTGGTGATTATGTCAAAAAGTAACCATAAATGGACCAAACTTTTGGTAATAAATTTAATGTTTTATATGAACTTGTCTTTTGTTCATAGCCTATCGGAGGTTGAAAAAAAAAACAACCCTAGTATTTTACCCGCCAATCTGAAAAATATATAAAAAAAATCTAAATATACTTTATTATTCAACTGAATAAAATATAAACATAAACTTCCAGTGAAACAGACACCTTACTTGCTATTGCATGGATAAAATAAATAATTATAAAAATACATGTAAACTTAATAATATAATATCCTGTCTGATAAACGTGAAATAGTAGTGGTTTAGTAGTAGAAATTTTGAGTAGCTTTGAAAAATATAAAATGTCAGATTTGTTTTCTTCTGAAATCAAATTAGGTTTAGTGAGGGATTATTTTTGCTGCTTCAGAGAATGTAATAAAGTGTGTTTTTAGTAAAATGGCAATAAATTACTATGAAATAATGGTATATTTCATCTCTAAGGCCTGAAAGTGACTCTTTTCAACCCAATATCAACACCGAGGTCGGAAAATGAGCGAGAGTTGAAAAGACACTTTTACCCCATGTGATGAATCATGTGGGTGAACCCACATTGTTTGAACAAACTATGTTACAAAACTAGAACAGTTTTCAGATAACCAATTAAAACTACTTCTTACTTGTTTTTAATTTAATTTGCTAATAGAATCAAGCAGCTGTTTACTAAATGATTCAACAGTTTCAACTATTACGATTGTATTAGTGTACATTATACTATTGATCTGTCTAACTATTTACAATAGGGCAACAATTAACTACAGAAGATTGAACAATTTATTCATATCGGTACTTTCGATAAATTGTTTAAAATTGATATTTACAACTGACAATTGCTGATTTTTACCCTAGGGAGTAAAAATGTTATTTTAGACCTGCAACGTATGCCTTAAAAACAGCTGTTCAGCTGCATTTTTTCCTAAATTTGATCAAAACATATCCATAACAGAGCAAACTACAACAGTTTACTTATTCTCCATTTATGACATGAGAATCTTAAATTTACGGTTTGTTTTAACTTTCCTCCATAACCATTCAGTGTACAACAACACTTAAATATTCTAAATAGTTTTTTAAGCTCTTCAAAATGGTTTAGAAATAAATTACAAAGTTTAAAAATTTTGAGGGTCAATAGTGGCGAAATTCCATTTTGAAGTATGTTTGCATAGTCCGATTATACTAGTCCGCTAACTCGTTTAAAAGTAGGTTTACACGTTTGTACCAAATTTTGTCAAAATCAGATAATTTTACATTGATTGCTAATTGACACATAGGTCATAAATAAATATGTAGGTCTATATACATGAAATAGAACAGATGATGTTTTTGGCATCTAGGGACATCGAAACAAAAAAGTAAATCGCGTCTGGTTCAGGTCTTATCATGAGACCTACGGTATTAGATTATTCGCTATGGGAAATTCTCTAACAGCTAGAACTATGTAATACAGCTGTACATTCTAATAACACTTGTTAATCTACTCATAGTTTTTAGAAAGAGTAATCATACCCATATAACAGAAAAACTATGCATATCGCAGATGGGATGTACGTTCGGCTTCTTCATATCCTGAAATCTCGGGATTGTATTCAAGCCATTTAATCACAATAGACGGTGACAAAAAAACTTCACATCCCGTTAGCATCACAATAATTGAGATGTATTATTTATTTCTACTTTTACCAACTCTTGACCAAAAATATTCTGTTTGTTATTTACCATCTAAGTAGGCATTGATGATTTGTAATTAACCATGTCAGCTTATTCTTTATTCTCGTTTGCAAGATCATTTTTCTGTCAAATCCTATATCTTACATGAGGATCCTATTGTTGATGACTGTTTGGTCTTTCTTGATTGCTCTAGCTGAATGCTGAATACTTTGTTGGGATTCTTTAAAAAGTAGTTCCCGGTTTTTACACATTTTCACTTCAGTTTGAGTTCTATTTAAATAAAGAAACCAAGATGATAAATGATCAGTTGTTTGAATTCTCTTTATTTTAATTGTTAAATATTTTTGTGTTAGTAAATCTCTTCACTCATTTCAAATACTTACACACATTTTCTTTGTAGGTTGGCATTCCTGTACTGGCAGGGACATTTTTCTGTAGGCCTACATCAGATTTAAACTCAAGAGGTCACAATGTAGATAATCAAATAGAAATTAAAGTAGAAATGAACCAGCAAGTATCAGGATGTTAT